GGGGAGGGGAGGGGAGGGGAGGGGAGGAGAGGAGAGGAGAGGAGAGGAGAGGAGAGGAGAGGAGAGGAGAGGAGAGGAGAGGAGAGGAGAGGAGAGGAGAGGAGAGGAGAGAGAGACCCAGACCCACAACGATATTCAGGACACTTACTCCCCCTCCCAAGGTCTCACAACTATCCCCTTGGGTTCCAGGACTGAGCACACATCCAGGGAAATCTCCCACAAGACCCACCTCCAAGACAGGAACGTGCCTTACCATGGCTCTTACCAAGGTGAGAGGCCAGGCTATGACCATTGTTAACACCTAAGCTATCTACAGATGGAACCAAGGTATCAAGCAATCATTTAAAGCTCCCTGTGACCCTCATCTCTGGGCTATGATGCCATGCTCCTTCTGGAGTTCTCTATCATACCCACCTCCTGCCATACCTCCCAGTGAGTCCACTGGCCAGAGCCCTCTTCCAAGGAAGATGCAGCCATGCCTTGAGAACACAGATGTTGCATTGACCAAGTTCCCCATAGGGTGAAGTGGCATCCTGACACTTTTCCTACAAGTCTGGTGGTGGTCAGGAAATGACGGTCCTGGAGAGTCCTCCTACTTTGTCTTGCCTCATGCAGAGTTCCCTCAAGAATGCTCTATTGCACTTAAATGATATTTCATATAACCGGTAACTATTGACGTGGCAGTGACGGGTCAAGTTAAATGATGGAATCTTACATAGTCACTTTCAGCAGCATCAACCTACAGGTAATTTAACAATCCCAGGCTATGATGGTCTAAGGAACGAGGCTCAGCACCTGTAAGCAGGATGAATCTACCCGAAGACACCGGAAACTCACCAAAAGCAACGCCCAAAGTGAAAGCTCTGGTCTTTTCCCATTACCTGGGTTCTTAACTCTCTTTTTAAGTACACTAATTTTTTTCTCATTGCCTGTAAATTGCCTTTACAGCAAAATAAACTTGGTTTTTAGAAGTTTTGTGTGGCGGGAGTGTATATATTTATGTGCGCATGTGCAAAAGAGACCAGAGCCCAACACCGGATGTCTCCATCAACCATTCCTCCACTTCCTTTTTTTGAGTCACTGAACCTGGAGTTTGTCAGTTTGGCTAAGCCAAGGAGCTTCCAGACCCTTCCATCTCCACTCCATCTACCTCAGCACTGGTGTTATAGTTAGAGGACTGCCACATACCATAACCTTTAAACTCTCTATAACAAAAGTAGTCTTTTCTGTTTGGCTTTCAATTTTTTGTTTTGCTTTACTGGGACAGGCTGGTCTTGAACTCATAGCCATCCTCCTGAGTGCTAGAATTATAGGTGTATGCCACAACACCAGGCTTCTCTTTGCTTTATGAAAATTAAACCTGGTGTATTCTACATCATAGACTCGGATGGAATAGGGGAAGTGTGTCTAAAGAGCCCGTGTGAGGACAAGCAAGCTGAGGGGACAACCAAAGTAGGAAGCACCCACCTGGGTGTAAGGGACTTTCTGGCCACCATTCCAGGAAGCCATGGCTCAGGTGAAGCAGGAAAGAAGGGGAAGAGCCTCCAGAACAGGCGTTTCCCGTTCGATGGCCGCCTCCCATTGAGAGGATGGGTGGACACGTAAGTCTGGAGTCTGCCCAAAGGCGAGCGTGAAGAAGGGAGGTTAATGTGTTTTAAAGCCACTTGGCCCAAATGAAATTATATAATTCAGGAAGGAACAAATCACACCGCTGATGAGAGTTTGGTTTTTTTTTTTTTTTTTTAAGATAAAAAGAAAGGAAAGCAAAAAGACGAAGTGTCTTGGTGAGGGAGGAGTCGCAGTTGGGGACGGCAGGCTATAAGCAAAGACACCATCTCAAGGAAGGGATTGACCGGGGGCGTCCATTGCCTCCTTGCCGGCCTATAAAAGGCGAGCAACCAGGCAGGCCTCCCCTGACACCCAGGCAGCCTTGTCGCCACACTCAACAGACAGCAGGTGAGTAACTCGGCAATGCTAGAGGGGCAGGTGTTCCTGTGCCTGCCAACCCCTCTGCCAGGCTTCCTGAGCAGCCAGGTGTGGGCACCAGGCAGAGAGAACTACCGACGGTCTGTGGTCCAGGATCACACACCATCGTGGGGACTCTCACACTCAAGGGCTGTCTATGGTGGAGGGCGGGTTAAGTGTCCCACTAAGGGACACTTCCCATTGAGGGACACCCTCTCAGGCAGAGCCCAGTAGGAGCACTGGGCAGACAAGTCTACAGTGCTCCAGAAAGGGGGTTCCTGGGGCTCAGGAACCAGGGTCGACTAGCATTCTGGGCACCTGTCACCTAGCCTGAGTGGGTACAGCTTTTACAATGGTTCATGGTAGCACCTCCATTTTCTCTGGTCGGAAAACCAGACTGTTCTGTGTGGGGCACCCCAGCAGTGCTGTGAAGAGGAGGGAGGGAGTATTTTAAAGAACTCTGATGAACAACTCTTTCTGTGTGGGCAAGGAGGGCCTGGAAAGTCAAGATCAGTCAAAGGGCCTTCAGATGAAGCTCTGGAGCATCTTCTAACGGGATCTGAAATATCAGGGGTGAGGACAAGAGGGGTACTCCAGCAGGATACCCCCTCCCATACACAGAAGTAGCCCTCTCCTCTGCCATTCAAAAGGGCTCTGTGTAGAGAGGCAGGTGCCACGGACTCATTCCGAAGCAATTCGAAAACTAGGTCTGAAGTCCTGGGTTATTGTGGGGTTGTGGGGTGTGCACTCACTAGGGATGGAGGACGCTGAGTGTCCTCTATTGCCTGTCTGGCTCTCAGTGTCAGGACATCCTGGGCCACGTGTGGAGAAGGCCTGGGCAATGAGGTCCCAACACCCTCCCCAAAGCCTAACTAACTCTGAGGTTGAGCCAATTGTTCCCCCACCTCTGCTGCCCCCGTAAACCTGCTCCCCACCAAGACCTGAGTGCCTACCTCCCAACTCCTCACACAGATGAACAAACAGACCCAAGAATGTCCCAAGACAGCCACCTGTGCACAGTTCACATACCTCTCACCTGAGTAGTATAGCTATGTGCACCAAACACATGTATTTGTATACATCACATGCACATACATGTACCACACACACACATGTGCATCTGCGCACACAACCTAAGGTCCCAGCTTTGTGCACACAACTGACTCTTACACATCTGCCCCTAGGCTATACCATCTCCTGTGAGATCCCTTCTCCAGGGCATCATCGAGGAAGCCAGAAGCATGGCATCTCTGCGGGCATGGCTCCTGTGCCTGCTGCTCTTAGCCTTGGTCCTGCCAGGAGCTTCCAGCCGAGCCCACCAGCACTCCATGGAGACGCGCAGTAAGTGCCTGGTTTGTGGTGGGCAGCCTCTCTTGCCAGTCCCTCCATACTCTCACTAGATGCCTTGAGTGCCCAGCACCTGAATGGGGCTTGACCATCTCCTAAGCCAAAGTTACCTTGCCTTGTGCTCGGTCTGGAGGATGACCTCTTGGTAATAAGATCCTGTTGAATGGGCCTCTCCCGAGAACAGTCCTGTCTCCCTCTCCTCACCACACCCCTAGCCATCTTGGCTGGGTCCCTTAAGAACTTGGCAGGGAGGGGGTGGGGGAAGGGAGGTAGAGTGGGACAGGAAGGGAATGTCACTACTGGTATACCTCTAAATTAATTTCCCAAAGCCACACCACTGCCCAGATACGCTGTGGCCAGTCTCATCAGGTTGGATGCCAACATGGCCTGGTGCCCAGGTTTCCATCAGTTTAGGGGTTCTGTGTGGAGAACATGTGTCATGCATGTGCCATGCATCTCGTGTGCTGCTCTGGTTCTCTCCTGTCCAGCCCCTGACATCAATCCAGCCTGGTACACAGGCCGTGGAATCAGGCCCGTGGGCCGCTTCGGCAGGAGGAGGGCAGCCCTGAGGGATGTCACCGTACCTGGCCTGCGGTGCCGGCTAAGCTGCCTCCCGTTGGAGGGAAGTGCCAAGTTCTCTCAACATGAATGACAGCCCAGCTCATGAAGACAGTGATGCTAGGCCCAACACCACCCTCCCTCTCCTGTGGAGCCTCCCCACCCCACCCCCACCCTGCTTTCTCTGCTTTCCCTACAATCTAATAAAAGTGCTGGCCTTGTTTACTGTCTACCTGTAGCTGTGTCAGAACAAAGATGTTTTCCCTTATGGGAGGTTAACCAGGAAAGAAACTCAGAGCCCAGCAGCCTCTTTGGAAAGAAGAATCCCTGATCTGTCCCCCAAAACAACTGAGATGCCCCCTCCCTACCAGGCCCTGCTGAGCCTGGCCTGGTCCCCTAATAACCTGCGTTGAGGGAAGGAAAGCAAAGTTGATATCTGTGTTCCTGTAAATTATTATTCCCCCAAAGCCACACCAATGCCCAGAAATGGGGTGTCCCTTCCTTGGTGACTTGCTCCCACAAACTCTCGCCTGCCCAAGATACCCTGGATGCATACTCAGCTTGCACACTGCATAAAGCCGGGGGGACCACACACTACAGTGTGTAAGATACTTGATCCCAAAGAAAGGCAACACAATACTTCGCGTTTTCTAAGACTTTTAGAGCTATTTTGGGTTTGCTGTAAAAATTAGAAGATACAGAGATGGTCCTAGGAGCCCTGTTCCCAGAGCACCATTCCCGGCCCCCTGTAGGACAGGGAAAATAAAGCTACAGCCCAGGAAGCTACATACCATCGTCACCCAGAACCTGTTGGTGTCCGTTAGGTTCAAGGTCAGTACTATGTCTGCTCTTTGGGCAAACACATTATTTGGCTCCACCAGTACAGGGACACGTGGTGTCCCTCACCACCCTGAACATAGCCTGTTCCTTGTGGCTTAATGAATGCTGGTAACCACCAACACATGCGGTCATGCCACCCTCGTTCCTGCTCAGAGAATCCCAGAGACCTGACCCCGATCATTTGGATCCTATGTGCCCCTTTTAAGTCACACGGGGGGCTTCTATGCCCTTCCTCAAACAACTTTGGAGTCAGAGCACACACCCACTCTTCTTGGGTACCTGAGACAGAGTGAGATGGGTGCCAATACAGCACAGCTGGTGTCCTTAGAAAAGGTGGGGGGCGGGGGAGGACTCCAACAGGAGCTTAGGGAGACTCCATGGGAAGCTGGGGCAGCCAGGAGATTCCCCTGCACAGAGGAAAGCCAGTGGTTTCTAGCAGCCTCATCGGCCGGTGCAGATGCCTCATCCCAGCTCAGAAAGTCCCGTTCTGCCCACAGACAGACTTGGGTCTCAGCTGGGGGTCATCTGGCTGCCATCTAAGCTGTTCTACTTCAGGCTGCACTGAGGGCACCTGCTGTGTGACTGTTTCCCAGGGAGACATGCCACCCGTTCAGTCCTCTCCACAGCCCAGGCACTCTACTAGCATCTTCCAAAACCATTGGGACAAAACAGCATGCAGCTAAGATGGGGGGCACAGGGAGTGGCTAGGATCTCAAATGAAGATCTATTAGTCCTCCCTACCTCCTTCTGTGCAGGCTGGATCTTATTGAAGGTTTCCTGCGGGTAACAGCCCTGCTCTTACGGCAATGGTAACAGCTGTCGTGCTTGGAGGACTGCTTCCCATAGCTGGTCTCCAGGAACAGACCATCTCCTTATCCAGAAAGATGAATGGAGGCATATTTGTTTTCTCCAGTCTTGGAACAGTTTTAAAACACACAGGAAATTCCAGAAGATAGTGTAGTGACTATCCCAGACACCAGGACTCGTCAGTTCTCCTGTATGCTATTTTCCCACTTCCCCTCCTCATCCTAGACTCACCCATACTTGGTGGGGAGCTGCAGACACCAATACATTGCCCTCAAATAGTTCAGCACGTTTCTCTCAAGAATAAGACGAAATATAAGCCTGGAAAAGTGAATAACTGTGCGTATGCTCTCTCTCTCTCTCTCTCTCTCTCTCTCTCTCGCTCGCTCGCTTGCTCGCTCTTTCTTGGTTCCTGATCTTATTATCTGCTACCTTTAGTCATAACATTGACCTTCTGAAACACCCGGTGAGCTGTTCTTTAAAACAATCCACGCTGATTGTGCCCCTCGCGGTGTGCCCGGCTAGGCTCCTGCACTTCCTGTCACAGAAAAGGACCTTGGCTTCGCTGGACACTGTGCCCCACTGTCCAAAGGCCCTGGGTCCTCTGATGGGGTCCTGGGTCCCACCTCAACATGCTAACCTTGACCGTGAGCTTGGGGTCCTGCCTCTCAGCTGTAAGAGATTTCTCCAGTGTGATTCCGGTGCAGACTGAGTTTCACTTGCCTAGTGGAGGAGGAGGCGAGGAAGCTGCAGGGTACCAGATCCGCTCAGTCTTGGGCTTTCTGGTGGAGTGTGTCGAAGGGAGCAATACTCATCAGTCAAGAGAGAGGAGAGATTAGCCATCAGACAGACAGGCACCCTACAGATCTCCCTGGTGTTTCCCCACTTCCTCAGTCCTCAAGCAATGACTTTGCTTTCAGGAAGGAGGTGCACCTGAGTTTCTAGACACTTGGAACAGAACAGGCTCGCCTTAGGTGATGCTGGAGTGCCACCTAGTGGTCTTGGGGCCCAAGCCTCTCATCACCTTTACGAGGGGCTTGCCGGCTGGCAGAATGGTTCCCCAGCCCTGATGGTGACAGGGATAGGCCAGGATACTAGAATATTCATTTCCCCTAGTTCACTTATTAGAGCGCCATCATGTGACCACTCTCCACCTTCCCTAGCTGTCAGAACAGCAGTCCCACAGCATCAGCAGGCCTCCCTAGAAAACAGGCTGAGGAAGAGTGGGCGAGACGCTCCCAAGGAGCACTTGACACTTTCTCACTGATCGTCAGAACAAGCCTTTCCGTGTCTGGCCCACATCTGTCCAGTGGTCACAGCAGTTTCCTCCCGGTCAGGTCGGGACAACATCAGTACCCAAAATGTCTGGTTGTTTCCAGGTCCCAGAACTGAAGCTGGATCCCTCCAGGGGTGCAGGGGACCCAGGAGGCTCCAGTTCCCAGACACGGAAGCTGGGGTTGGTCTGTCCAGGCAAAGCCGATGGAGCAGAGGGCACAGCCAGGCCCAACAAGCTCCTGGCCAGCCTGAGCTCAATTTGGATGAGAAGTAGAAGTTGACGTGAAGTGGGAAAGAGGATTCCACTTTTGTCCGTTTGTGCTCACAGCGGACACAGTGGGGCCACCTTCCCCAGTGAGGAAACAACATTCCGTTCTGTGGAGTTCTCTGGGGTTTGTTTCATTCTGGTTTTTGTTTGTTTCTCTGAGCAGCCCAGAACAAACTGGCCATTCTCCTGCATCAGTCTTGTATGTGCTGGGATTAGAGGCCTCTATCACCACACCCAACCACAGTGTCTCGTTATTCAGACTCAACAGTTTATCACACTCCCAGAAGCAAAGAGAAAAAACCAGCCTTGTGTGGGGCAGTGGTGACGGCAAATGCCTTTTATTAATCCCAGCACTTGGGAGGCAGAGGCAGGTGGATTTCTTCATGTTCAAGGCCAGCCTGGTCTACAGAGCTAGTTCCAGGACACCTGGGGTCGTTATATAGAGAAACCCTGTCTCAAAAACAAAACAAAACAAAAAACAGTTTTGCCCCCTAAATGGCCACATTTGAAGTACCTCCATCTTGCCATATCAAGCATCGAGAGAGACCCTCTGGAGCTTTCCTCCCTGGACAAGGACCTGGGTTTCTCTATAAAGATGAAAATTCTCAATGCAGTAACACAGTTACCACCAGGATAGACAGTCTGCCCAAACCAATGCCTATGCCCACCCTCATTACACTTGCCCCACAAGTTTTCGCCATGTTTAATGCCTACAAACCAGACTAATGTGTACAGACTGACAGTGTGACCTGTCAGGCTGTGGGTCCTAGTGTAACCTTGGAAAGTGGTCAAATTATCAAGACCCCTAATATTTAGAGAGAAGGATGCATAGACAATACAGTGGAGGCTTGAGAGTCCTGGTACCACTAGATAGAGGCCTGGCTCTGTCCATCCGCAGCTGGAAGGGGGACACACCCATCGCCGCCACTCCTGATGGATTCTCCAGGGTCACCTCACTGAGACCCACCACCTTGGGCTCATTTCTCCATTTTTCCCAGCATGGATGCCTTTTATTTTATCAGCCCCTTTCTCCCTTGGCAACTCCCAGAACCAAGGAGATCCAGTTAGGGACAAGCTGCCCCAGAATGAAGCAACTGTCTTCCCATCTCATGGATCAAAGAATCTTTCCAGCTCACGCTTCTTCTCTGCTTCATTTAACTCTTCCATTCTGGTAGCAAGGCCGCTGAATGGAACGGCCCAGGTGGGGCAGGCACACGGGCTCAGGGCATTCAGGAATATGGTGGGATCGGGGAATATCAATGGGACTGGCAATCTTCTGGGAACCATTTTGCACCGGATCCTACCACTGGCCATTCCCAGCAGCTCTGGCAAGTAGTTCTTATGAAGGAAGCCAACTTCTGGAAGCCTCCAGGGCTTGGGCATAACCCGTCTTTTGGAGAGTATGAATAGACAGAGTGGCCAGCCTTGTTCAGAAGCCGCCGCTGCCTCGGAACAGAGGGGCTGAGAACCCTCTGAGGCACAGGATGAGATGCCCTCCGCACGCTCTCCTGCAGTGGCAGCAACTCACGCGCAACACTGGCGCTGCCTGGCAGCAGGCCCCTGGTTCAGAACCACAGCCTCACCGTCCTGCGGGCTGCTGCTCCCCCTGTCTCCTGCTCTCTTCAGTAGCTCCTGGGCTGTAGAAAACGGATTTACTGGGGAGGGAATCCCCACCCCCAGAACCCTAACCCAAGCCCTCCACCTCTCTTCCTCATGGTCCCCCCAGCCCCCAGAAACACCAGAAGGTGGTCCAGGGGATGAGGCACAGGGGAGAGCCACCCTTCTGTGGCACGCCATCACTTACCAATGGTGTCGAAGACCTCAGACACCTGGTAGTTCTGCTTGACCGAGGTTTCCATGAAGAGCAGGCTTTTGCTCTCCGCAAATTCCTTCCCTTCCTGAAGGAAAAAGTCAGCGTGTTTAATGGGAGTCCCTCTGGGGCATCTCTTGGCTGACTCACAAGAAACTGGATAATGCTATAATAATAAATATAATAAGTATATATTATATAAATATAAATAATCCCAGCGCTCAGGTAACTGGGGTGGAAAAATCATGAGTCTGAGTTCCAGGCCAGCCTTGAACACACAAACGCCTGCCTCAAGACAACCAAAAAAGGACTGGTTGTACTGGGTCACATATGTGTGCACACACTCTTCACACAGACCACCCTGCATACATCCTCCCCGTGTGCGTATGCGTACACACACCTCCCACATGAATCTCCAACCAAAAGGGGGGACTACGATGGGATCTTTTGAATTTCTACACACATGAGTGCTTGTGGGTTTGCATGCAGAGGTATTAGCATGTATGACTTTGGAGGCGTGTGTGTGTTTGTGCTTATGAAGGTATATTCAGACAGCATGACTCTGCATGTGTGTGAACATGTGTGCTTATGAAGTATGAGCATATACATAGGTAAAGGAATCATGGGTGTGCATGTAAGTACGTACGTAGGTGGTCCATGAGTATCTGAAGCACAGGGTGTGTGTGTGTGTGTGTGTGTGTGTGTGTGTGTGTGTGTGTGTGTGTGTG